GGCAGGAATGGGAGTAATTCAGTTCCAAACTAAGGAACACCAAGGATTGACAACCACCACCAGAAGCTGGGAAGGGACAAGAAAGAACTCCCCTTTGAAATTTTCAGAGGGAGTATGGTTCCACCAACACATTGATTTCAGACTTGTAGCCTGTGAAACAATAGATTTCTGCTGTTTAATAAACAGTCCAGTTTGTGGTACTTTGTTATGGCAGTGAATGAAATGTTATGGCAATGAAAATGAAGCAAGTACCAATTTGTTCGGCATTTCAGAGTTATGTGTAGTGACTTTTCCCCCCAGGCCAGAAAAAAATGTTAATAGATAATACATCCCTAAAAAAAAAACCTATTTCTTGCTTTTCTCCTCCATTCTCAATGACTTAACAGCTCTCATCAACTTTGACTACTCCCAAATTCCAGTCACATACTTCAACAGTCTTGTTATTTTTTCTTCTTTATTTACAGTACCCTTTCCAGCAACACACAGAACTAAGACCTACATAAATATTCATTAACAAAATAAATTAAAATGAAACTTATTAGTGAATCAAGACTTAAATGAACTACATGCATCCAAAATAGCACCTCTCAATGATGAGGTTAATTTTTCTATAACATACTTTAAAACTTGGGATATAAACTCATCTTTCAACCACAGTAATGGGAGAAGACAATAAGTAAGTGGACTTTTTGCCCCTCTTCACATCTTAGAAGTTGTTACAGTACTCAGTTCACCATGGCAATCTGATTTGGTAAATCACAGAAGTTTGTGATTCAAAAAGAAAAAGAAAACCTTTTGTAAGTGCTGGCACACTTCAGTATGAAGTGGTTAAGATTCATTTTTGTAAATAAAATATCTAATTGCTTCGCATTATCCTTAGAGAATAGTTACCATCTTGCAATGAACATGGTTGGGGCAGTTTGGGAAGACAGTTTAGAAACCCATCACCTATGGTGTCATCTCCTCTTGCTGCGTTATACACAGGCTCACAAAGTTTCCCAAAATTTGGGACACTGTCACCTTGATTTATGAAAATTGCCCTGGCATCCTGGACAGGCTAAAACCTACTTTAACTAGAAATGTGGTAGACAAGTCAAGACTCTCATGTACTCCCATAAACTCATAGAAAGGACAACTGATGAGACAAGTTATATTCACTTAACCTTTGGCAGATAATGCTATCTAAGAGGTTGTTCCCATTTATACCCAGGAGAGGACAGGGAAAGGAAAGGGTCAAACACAGGGACTTGAACACCAATGACCTCAGGGAATAGTAGACCCTTCAATTTAATTAAGGTTCTGAATTTTTAAAATAGTGGAAATACAGGAAATACACAGAAAGAAAACCTCATTAAAGTAAAACCTTCAATATGTAAAAGAACTAGGATGTGGTTAAACTGAAATGGGACAGCAGTAGATAAAGGTGAGCTGATCCAAGGATCACCTGGTGATGCTATTGTAAGGACAGCCAGTTCCTGGGACAGGTGATAGTGTCTCTTCCAGCCCTCCTTCCACTACAAGCTACAGCCCAGTGGTGAACACTAACAGACTTGCACAACCTTGACACGGCCCCATTACAGGTGATGACAGATGCACCAATAATAAGGTACACACTGGAAAGTAAAGAAAGGTGCACCAGGCAAGGGTCATGAAGATAAGCTTCAGTACAGGGAAAACGGACAAATTCCTCAAATATCAGATATTAACATCAATTCACTCCGGAGGAACTGAAAACAAATAATAATTTGGGGAATGTAAAATATCAACTTATTTTATATTTTATAAAATTGAAGTTAACGCTATTAACCAGGAATTAATATACAGAGACATAAAAGATGTTAAGAATCTTATTTACAAGCATAGAAAAGTGATAGTTTCAAAGAAGTTTGTTTCTATCCAAAACAATCTATAGTGGTCATTCTACAGTGCTTTCTAAAGAAATAAAAATCAGGTATTGTTTTCTCTATTATTTACTTCTGCATTTCGTATAGATTCAAAGTATCCTTCCTTCTCTCTCCCACCCAGATTGGTGCAAGACCTGGACCACCACCATTTCGGGTTCATTCCTTTAAGTTCAGCATCTTCCTCGTCATCCTCTCCTGTCTTCTCTTTATAACTCTAAGAAATCAATATTAAGTTCTTAAATGCAGTCCTCTAGAGACTTGTCAAACTTTTGACCACAACAAATATAAGAAATACATTCTACATCCAGAGCCAGTACATACCAAACAAATCCTACCTATAAAACCTACATGAAAGTTTCTCAAAACATTTACCCTTACTACACGTAACAGACTGATTTTCTCCATTCTGTTTCACCTTTTTTTTTTTTTAATGCTGGTGACCCAAGTACTAGGTCAGGACTCAGTGTGAAATGCTTAGTAGATAAGATACAATGATGCATCTAAGTAGCAACATAAGGAAGCAGCTAAGAGATCTGCATTCAGGCTGCCTGGATTCAAACACCAACTCTACCACTTGAAGTTGTCAACCTCCCCGCCTCAGTTTCCTTATCATGGGAATGAAAAAACAGTGTTTACCTCACAAATGAGGATAAATCAAGACCATCCAAATAAAGTACTTATTTGAGCATAAAAGAGCATAAAAAGTATTCAATTAATGGCTATTAATAAATCTTAAATGGTCTGTGGACTTTTTTTATTGTGGTGTAAAATATACATAACACATCATCTTAACCATTTTAAAGTGTACAATTCAGGGGTATTTAGCTCATTCATAATGGTGTACAATCATCACCACTCTCTTGTCCCAGAACAATTTTTCATCACCCCAAAAGGAAACCCTGTACCCATTAAGCAATCACTCCCATTCACCCTCCTCCCCAGGCCCTCTTGGGTAGGGTGAGAATTAAGAGTCCCCAAGTCTGCTTTCAGTTCCTAGGTCCATGGACTTTCTAAATAATAACTTAACACTTGACTAGAACACTTCCCTAAGGTAGCATGACATGTTCTTTGCAGTCATAGGTCCTATGGCTCAAACTTCTGAAATTATTTCTTAAGTAAACCTTTGGAGACACTTTTGATAATTCTGTGACCTGTCTCAGGGTAAGAAATCCCTCTCTCCTAAGAATGAATAGATGGAGCACAAGGGATTTTTAGGGCAATGAAATTATTCTGTATGATACTATAGTGGTGGCTTACATGTCATTATGCATTTGTCAAAACCCACAGAATGTATAACATCAAGAGTGAACCCTAATGTAAACTATGGACTTTGGTTGATAATAATGTGTCTATGTTGGTTCATCAATTGTACCAAATATGCCACACCGATGAGGGATGTTGAGGGTAGGGAAGTATATATGTGGGTGGGGAGGGCTATGGGCAAACTCTCCGTATTTTCTGCTCAATACTGTTGTGTACCTGAAACTGCTCTTTAAAAATAAAAAAGGCTATTGAAACAAACAAACAAACAAACAAAAAATCTCTCTCTCCTGTGAATTCTATAAGGGCAGGATTCCCAAAGCCTGACAAGAGGCTGACTGACCAAGGCCCTAAGAAGATATTTCTTCATTACATCACAGAATATCACCAAATAATAGAATATTCACCAAATGATGATCTTCATTCTTTAAATTTTGAAATTCTGCTTTTGAAGTTCCAACCTTTTACCATAAAGGGGCAAAACAGTGAACTTGGACACAGAACTAGAGGTCCATTTCTTGGCATCAGGATGTAGAATCATTTCCTTTTTGGGCCCCACCCCTCTCACCCATTTCCCACCCCTCCTTTGGGGTAGGGTAGACTGGGAAAAAATAACTGTTTTTCCCAGAATCCATTCGATTCAAAAACTTAATCGGGAAATAACCTAGTCAGGGAGGTTACCTTGCAAAGCAGCACTGCTATTCTTTGAGAAATGGTGAGGGCAGAAGGCTTCTTAGGCCAAAGAAGTAAATGTCACCAAGAGGCACAGAAGATGTGAACTGGAAAATGTATAAGTCAGAGCTTTTTTTACTTTCTCTCTCTCTCTTTTTAATTAATGACCAACACCTCTCAACCAGGAAACAGGCCGGATTGGCCCTCAGTTATTTTCCATCCACCTCTCTCGTTCCCACCCTTCCCCTCAACCCCTGCTTCCTGGCCTGACCCCACCTCAGGGGCCCAGAGCACTGGGCCAACCCGGCTTATTCGGGATTGGCGGGGGGTGGCCGGAGGAAGGGGATAGAGGGACACCACGTCCCAGAGCCCAGCGAACCTCCCCAACTCCCAACAAGTCGCTTTACTGCTTTTGGATTTGGACAGTGAGGAGAAAGGGGGGAGAAGGCTTTAAGTAGCAAACTAACCCAAGAAACCTCACACCTCAAACTCTGGGAAAGCCCGTGCCCGGATTTACGCCAAATTCTGGAAAAGTCCTGAGCTGGAGTGAACTTTATGTGAACAAAAGAGAATTACAACTTTCTGAAGACCTGGGTGCCCTGGCAAGTCAGAGAGAATCGTGCCCCAGCTGTCCAAGCACAGGAAGCCAAGGCTTCACCCGAGACCTATCCAAAAATAAGACCTCAAGAGAAGGGATGATCGAGGAAGCCGTCACTTCAACGAGCCCAGGTGATCCTTATCACGGATCTGGGTCTAGCACGTTCCTCGCGCATCCAGCTCTGGGAGCTCAAGCGAAAAGGACTCCAGGCTCCACTAGGGATGAAGAAGTGGGTACAGGGGCGTGGGGAGGCTCCGTGACCGCGGTCCTGCCAACCCGAGACTCGAGAAGACGGCTGCGTGCAGCCGCAGGACCCCGCGAAGGCGCTGCAGCCGGGCCCCGGGTGGAGAGGCCGCTGCCTCCCAGGGCGCCCAAAATGCAATCCCATGCAAGGCCCTCTCCTCGGCAGGCCTTCGGAACCAGGGCCGAGGGCAGGATTTGGAAGGTGACAGCACTCGGCTTCCTCTGCCAAGAGTGAAACAACTCCGAAAACTTCCTGGAGCCGGCGCGCACTTTCCGCGGCCACCTCCCCCGTGCCCCGCACGCCGGCCGGCCTGCGCACTGACCTGAAATAGTCTCCTGGTAGCCCTTGGTGAAGAACTGCATGGCCGTGGCCGCCCTCCAGGGCGTCTTAAGCAGCCCCTGCCGCTGGGGGTCCTCGCCCAGCGATCGCAGGATGGACGAGTAGGCGGCCGCCAGGTTGGGTAGGTTCAGCTCGTTGTCCTCCTCGCTGCGGGGCCGCTCGCCCTTCCAGCCGTCCGCCGGCTGAGCGCTCTTGCTCTCCGGCCGCGGCGTCTTCTCTGTGGGAGGACTTGGCCTGGGCCGTGGCGGCTCCCCCTCAGGGAACCCATTGCTGCACCTGGCCCCCCGCGGCTTAGCCGGCACCCGCCCCGGGCCCTTCTCCATGGACCCGCCGCTGCCTCTCCGGAGGGACCTCGGACGCGTCAGGAGCTGCAGGTGAACTTCGCCGACCGTCAATGGGCGGAGGCACCTGAGGAAAGTAGGCCAAAAGCTACCAACAGGTTCCAAATCCGGAACAGTCGAGACTGGAGAGCGCGGTAGAGCCCCCATTTTATAGGCTGGCGGCTCGGCCGGTGCCGCGGAGCGTCCCCATTGGCCGAGCCTCCTCGCGTCACGGCGCTCGCCCCGCCCCTCG